TATAATAGTGGGATCTAACACAAACTGATCTACCTTCTGAATTGAAATTCTGGATGGTTTCTACTTGTTCGGACTCAAAGCCAGAAGAAAGGAAGCACACGCATTTGAAAAAAGACATCCTTAGATTAACAGCTACAATTCAATGTTGCAAGTGCCTAAAAAAATAAGCTAGTAATGACTCCAGAATCACAGCACAGTTTAAGAGGCGGCTCATTTAATGGTGAATATTTTGTATTATTTACTTGCCTTAAATTTTCTAATTCCTGTTTCTTCAAAGGCGAAGAAGGTGGAGCTGCAATGAATTTATCCCCTTCATGACTTTTATTGCTAGAATAAAAACAGTGTATTAATTATAGGGAGTGACTATAAATAAATAATTAAAAATTCTCAGTGTAATAAGCATTGATGTTTATTCACTCCATTTAAAAGGACAGCAAAAATTCTATAGCCTAAAAAACAGGGAAATGAAGCTATGCAGAAATTAAGGCACATACTCTTACCCTAACCGTTCTATTTGAGAAGGAAGAAGGGGGACATTTGCTGGGAAGGACTTGACTGACAGACCAAACAACCCACGCCATTCTCCACAGCCTCAAGCTATTTTTGAAGTTTGGTGTAGGACAAGAACTTTAACCTGGAGAGATGCAGAACTCGCTGCATTTGTAGGCTCTCTTCTTTTAGCCTGTAAGAAAAGCAGTAAACTAGTTCTCTCCCTAGACATCTTAAAAACTAATTACATAAATATTCTAGAAAAATAATCCAGAAAGTGCTACAGCTTCCTTTAGACTTCTAGCTGCCCTTCATTTTTATTGCTATTTCAAAATGTCTTTTTTTAAAAAAATCCACTTTCTTAAAAGTTATGCTTGGCTTTTTTGGGGAAGCAAGTATTCGCTCTATTTAAAAAGTATGCAACTTTGCTCTCCAGTAAGCTGAAAGACAACCTCCTTCTGGAATGAGAATAGAAGAGAAGGTTAACAGCTGCTCCTTGGCAGAGAGAGACACTACGGTTTAGAAACAACAGAATAAAAAAATTGGAATTGAAACCAACAGACTCTGTCCACCTAACAAGAACTTTTTCATTGATGTATCTGTTTATTACAAACAGGTAAGATAACTCCCACTTAGACCTTCAAAACAGACAGCAACAGACTCCAAGGAAACCTGTGCTCAACACTGTTGTAGTGCATACACCTCATGCCTTTGCCAAAAATTAGATAAAAAAAATACCCTTAACCACTGAAAGTATTCACTGTTTTCCTGTGAATAACAGAAGAATCTGTCTCAGAGTCAGCGTGCTCAATTAGTGGGATTTGCTTCAAAACCATCCTGTTCAATTACTGTGATTTTCTTCAAATGCCTTATATCTTTTACTGTTCTCTTGCAGAGGGTCCCTTGTCAGAAGGAACAAATCCTTGGAGAACCTTTCAGAATGTGACACACAAATTCAAGAACAGCCTGCTTTGTTGCTGTATATTTTGAAATTGGCAATGACCACTGGGAGATACGAGGGAGTCTTTTTAAAATTTTTTTTAAGCTGAAGAAGCATCTGGTTTTGAAGGCAGAAGGTAGTAAAGGATCTTCCTCTACAGGGCATATTTTCTTTTCCTCACTCCTACAAAACCAAAACAAAACCAAACCCTACCAAAAACAAAACAAAAAAGGAGGTCTCGTGTGAGTAAGGGCCACCATTTTGTTTTCATCACAGTCACTCAGTGGGCCCCATGTTTAAAATTGAAGTCTCATTTAAACCAGAGGAGCTTCATCTCAATGGGCTGCATACAGCTTGCCAGGGGAAGTTAGTTCACAACCTCCAGCCTCGGTAAGCAAAAAAGAAACACCTCCTTCCCTGCCAAAGTTTGTAAATCGTTTGGTCACTTGACAGAAAAGATTGTTATTAGGAAAAAAAGGGTTACAGAGAACAGCATTCAAATATTGTTGTAGCAGTAGTAGCCACCAACTCCCAGCCCTAGCCTATCCCCAGGCAACCTCAGAATATATGGAGATGCACCTTGTGCCTACAGAACACAGCATGTGTGCAGTAAATCCTGTCATGTGACAAATGTCTCTTATCTTCTTAAATTTTATCTGCACTTGGGTCTGACAAAAACATTGTGTTTCTTTGTTACTCTCTAAGTAGTTCAAGTTCAAACACAGCCACTTTTTCCAGATTAGTTATTGTAACTCTTCCCTTCTCAAAATGGTCGTTAATGAAAGTGCAGGCTATGGCCAACAAAGTCACTCTTCAAAAGGAAGTTCAGAATGCATCAGGATCAACACAAAAAATTAACCACTTCCTGCTATTTAACATTTGACATCCGTTGTCTACAAGTTGCTTTTTCTGAAGCTTTAAGGAGAAAGATTTTTCTTAAACTTTTTTTCGTAAAATGCAATTTATTAAGCAATAGCTCCATGTTGCTTTCCATCTTCTAAATCTAGTTTCCCATTTCTAGTCTAAAACAAACACAACAAAGCGTACAAGGGTTGATGAATGCCAAACCTGATCATGGGGAAATGTTTACAACTGAGTTGCTAGACTTTATATATTGAATCAAGTACATGGCGCACGTGCACACACAGACACAAAATCACTGTAACATGTGAAACTTCACTTACAATTAGAGAAACACCAATATGCACTGCGGGAGGGTGTGGGAAAACATAACATTTGCAGCACAGAAAAAAAGATGGCCAGTAAAAAAAAAAAAACTTTCACTGTTTAATTTATTGAAGTTGTTAGGAATGGTAGGAATCAACTCAGTATTTTATTCTTAAATTAGCATACCAGCAATTAAAACAACAAGCAGCTAAACAATTTCCTTGGATATCCCAACACTGCTAAGAGAATTTAAAAATACGTTATTTTTTCTGCTGGCCAAACAGGACAGGTAGTAGACACAGACTGTCAGCCCAGAGTTACTTTGGACAAAAAGAAAGGTTTATATGCAATTCTGTTTACCTGCATGCTTCACTGCTTTCACTGTTTTCTGTATTTCCCCCCAGCTGATTACTGGGTTTAGATCCATTTTCCTGCTTTGGCTCCTGCTGATCTTCTGGCAGTAGCAGCAAGGCATTTCTTAGACAAATCGCTGCAAATTCCATACTGGCTACAGGTATTGCTGAGGACTGCCCATCACTTAAAGAGACACAGAAGTTAGCCAGTGAGTAGCAATCCTACTCAATTAAAAAATAAAAGCAGAGCTCCAGAAAGATCTGAATGCAGAGAAAACTTTATCCTAAAAAAGTTAAATCATGTTTTAATATAACACATTTAATTTATGAAGACGTATGTATCTTGCTATTCTTATATATGGGAAGCACACCATGATGCCCAAATAGAGTGGGCAGATTCAACTACATAACTACAAGAAGTTCTCTTGTTTTTCTTGACTTCACTTCCTGAAGTTTTATGACAGAGTAACTAGATTCTTCCTGCACTTTTCTAAAGTGGATTACTGAAAATATTTTTTTTTAAATGAGAAAAAGAGGATGGATTTAGCTAACTGGCAATATAAATTTCAGATAAATCAAGTTTAAGCTTTAATAGCCTTCTTAGTTACAATGAATAAACAGTTAAGCCCTCTGCTGGCCATCATAGAGGAGGCATCCAAATGATGTTTAAGTAGGACTCATCAAGCATTTTAGCATGCCTCTCTTCACTACATTAATAATTCCAAAATGAACAGTTATTCCATGACAGTTTTAAAAACTCCTGATAAATAGATATGTATTCTTAACAAAGCTATGATAACAAAATAAAGAGCCCATGGAAAACATACTTACTTATAAACGGCATTCTGTATTGACTGGGATGCTAGGACTATCTTACGGTGGTAGCCTTGACCTACTATAGATTGCACAATTCCCTTTTTGCTGGGAAGACCTTTTGTCTCTTGTTCTGATGTCTAAAAGGAAAAAGAAAAAAAGCATTACAATATCAAGGCTGTTGAATGAGAACTTGACAAAATAAGTAAAAGCTGGAAGAAGACTTTGAATCCTGCTAAAATGTAAGAATCGATGGTTTATATGAGTACAGTTTTAAATCTTAAGTACCAAGAAGGATCAGGCACCTTCTATTGTCTTTGTGTTGCAGAGGGATTTTACTGCACAGAGTGTAACCACAGATTAGTTCTGACAGCTTGTCTGATAGCCTACTGACCTAGTTTCTCCTCTGTTTTGAAAGCAAAAGAACAATGAACCAAGTAGTATTAAAAGAACTGCTAGGATATCTAAAGAAAAATCATATGATCAGCCAAATAATATTCAGAATTGACACTGTAACGCTTGCCATCTTCTCTCCCTGCTTACACAGCATTCAAAATGCTCTCTGAAAAAGCTGCTCTCAAACCATTCCATGGGGAGCATGAAGCTGAACAACAACATATGCAAAGTTACATCAAGTTAACTTGTTTAAGAGATTTTTGAGTATGTAGACATTCTGAGGGTCAAATGAACTTAAAGCACCCTAATTATCAGTCCCAAGAATTATCTCTACACCATACTGGGGTTTGTTTGTTTGTTTTACCATGAACCATCTTAACAACTTTGTTGGTATGCAAAGTTACTGATGAAGAGTTGCAATTGTAAGGAAAAATTTATCCTAGATCTGTATTTTAAATATCTATCACTTTTCAGAAAATTTATCGGAATCTATTGTGAAGAAGAATATTGACATTATAATGGCACTTACTGTCAAACAGAAAAAAAAAAAAACACTACATACAGTTAGTTTGGATACGAAGAATATATTTCGAAAAATGCATTTTAAAAAGTGCAGAAAGGGAATAATCTTCCATCTATACTAAAGCAGGTGACAGTTAACTTCAGTGAAATTACTTTTCTGTATGGTGTTCAGTGCATAAATATGAATCCAAGGTAGATATCAAGGAATATTATTGCAAATTGAGTTACAAGGTCAAATTAAACACACTATTGATTTTAGGGCCTCACTTATCATGTTGCAAATCTTACAATAACACTGTCCTTGTAAACAGAATCCTAGCTTTGTTTTTTTGCCACAAAACCCATGCTAATCCAATCTCCCATACCCAGCTTTCCGCTAGAGATGATCAGCTGTGTCTTCTTTATCTATGTGTCACTTTTAACCAGTAGGATAGACACAGAAAATTGCAAAATGAGTATGAAGAAAGCTGTTCTTCCTGCATTCACTGTGCTTTATAAAACTAAGTACTCAGAACTATCTGACAACAGCTAGCACATACACAAAGTCAGTCCATTTTTGACCCAACGCTCTTGAAACTTCAGTGCTGTGCCTGTGATATGGGGATATAAGCAAACCTCTCCTATAAAGCTATAAAGTTGTGAATATCTTTCTTAAATTTTCTGAAATAGAGATATCAAAATAATGAGCACCATTGAAATTCCCAAGGGAAAAGTTACGAATTTTGTATTTGGAAGATTAGGATAATGTGCAGTATATAAAGGCACAGAGGCCACCCAGAGAGGGAAAAGAGAGAATTCAGAGGAGGGAAAAAATAGAGTGAATATAGCCATTTGTTCAATTAATCCCACCCATCCTGTGCACTGAATGAAATAGGCATACTGTGGAAATAACTGCATGGGATCATGCAATCACAGATTACATCACCACGCCCACACACACAAGGGGTGAATTACAGTTTCACAGGGAATCAAGTACAGTATCTCTTAATTTCACAGATGTACTCTTTTGGTGCAGTTTTCTGTTCTAAGGACGAACGATCCTGTCCCCACCCCTCTGAATTTTAACATACAGGCTTATCCTAAACAGATATGGATCAACAGGTTGAAACCGAGAAGCCCCAGAGGACATGCAATACATCTGCTGTCAGTAGGTTTCCACAAACTTTGCCAGCAGAGGAACGACAAGTCTCAGCAGTTATGGATTCAGTTCCCCAGCAGCTGTGATCATGACAGCTTCAGGATGGAGAAGGCTGATCTCAGCTTCCTCAGCCTATGCCACTTTTAGGCTAGCCGCACTACAGTCTCACCCCTCTCAACCTCTAGTGGCAATTGAGTGAGGAAATAATGAAACTTTAGATGAGTTTTGGCTGCACGAAGAGAAGGAAGATCACATGCAAAGATTTCAGTGGAAATCAGAGCACATCTTGTTATCTTCACCCAGTTTAGTCCTATAAAATGAAGCCACATCTGAATTTGGATAGTGGATTTACAACAGACAGAATTAAAAAAAGAAGTTTGAGTTTATATTACTTGTACATCATGAAAACTGTAAATAATTAATTAAGAACATCCGAGGAAGGAAGCGCCTCTTAAAGCAAATACTTTTAGTAGTCCTCTACAAGAGTCTTCGCATCTTCCAATAAAGTTCTAAGACATAATGCTACATTTTGTTTTTAAACAAGATTATTCATCAGTCTGATCCAATAACCATATTCATTAAAACATCAAAAACCAAACCTTACTGTCTGCTAAAACAGTAGCAACATACTTTCAGTCATACCTTATGCACACTAGTACCTAGCCTTAAAGTAGAGACAAGGGATCTCTACTGGGTAATGTGTGTTTTCTCCTGCTACTCCAGCTAAAATTTAAGATAGAACCTCATCGTTCCAGAAGTGGTAATGCATTTCCTAGAGTCTAAACATAAAAATCCAAGATGTTTCAGTCAAAAATTTTCAAAAAAAAAGAAGAAAAACAACCCTTCCACCTCAAAGTATCAGCAACAAAAGTTATCAAAGTTGTTTCTGTGCACCAAGCCTCAAAGTGAATATCAAACCCCCAAGAGCAGTCACAAAAATTTTCCTTCCTTGGATACTACAAATGGTCACTGACTCCAATCTCACCTTGTTATTTCTGCTATCCAGGAACAGAAATCCTTGGAAGTAGAGAACTTAGTACAAAGGAAAGATCTTGAGCAAGTTTAATTCTTCCGTTCACACAAAAAAGACAGAATTACTTGTGGTGTTGTTTTGTTGTTGTTGTTTGTTTTCAATGTATACCGTATATTATTTCATATGGGTTTTATGTATATATAAATATACATAAACCCCAAGATTTTGCAATCAATATGAAATGAGTGTGGAAAGCTGAGGCATCATAAAATATCCATAAATAGTAAGTCAAACTATTAATATTAGTATCTACATTTTAAGTAGAGAGCATTCACTACAGAAAGAACATATTGCTTCCTGTTATAAAGTGATGCCTCATTAGATAATAATACAAGTTTCTTTCCAAATAATATCTTTATATTTATTTCTAAAACTATTTCAAGACAAAGTACGGTAAACCATCAGATGACTTGGAGAATTATAATGTGCTTCAAACCAATTCAGGATTATCCATTCAGATTATGAGTCGGAATGCCAAAGGGGTGTGATGGTAAATTGCCAAAACAAAACCATGCTTAACCAGTCTCTCCAGCAAAAAACTTGTAACTTTATAGAAGAGCAGCTCTAACAGCCACTTACAGGCTTTTGTTTCATCTCATGCCAATCTTTCAAATAGCCTACTCAAATTCTTCTGATCCTAGAAAAATCAATTAAACACTGGGTCTGAAGACACTGTTTCTGTGGTGGTTTTCCTTCCCCTGTTGCAGCTTCAAATTAAACACGCAAACACACATATACACAAAAATAATTAATCTGGACTTACACAGAGGTGTTGCAACATTAGGCTTTTAAAATGCATAGTTCAACTCAAGTTATTATTTCTTCCTTTCTGTGATCACATATATTTCATAACTACAATGAAAGTAAGGAACTTGCAAATCTACTTACCCCTTTATTGGCAGCAATGCAGCATTCCGCTATTCTCAGCCAAAGACGAGGGTTTGAGTGATAAACCTGGACTGCCTCAATCAGGCATTCAAAGGCAGCTAAGGGCCTCCCAATATGCAAGAGCTGAATTCCACAATTGTAGAGCAACTCATACCGTTTGTTAGTCAGTAGCGTACACATGGGTCTCCCTGAAAATTTTTTACCTGCAGAAAAGGATTACATCATATTGGATCTGCAGCTCAGGAGAGCAGAAAACATAACTCTGGGAAGAGGAGGGAAACTGTGGGAAACACCCAAAAACTACCAAAAAAACCTTTCATCGCAGAAATTCGCTAGCCTCCCTATGTAAATAAATTCCTTCCACATCAAAGCTGATACCAAAGACAAATTAATTGTATTCTTAATAAAGGTTGAAGTACATTAAATGCTAACCACTTGTTCCTTGTCACTCAAGCTAAATGTTATATAATAATACTGAATCCCAGATTTGTGAGAATACACGTCTTTGTTACTCATATAAATTCCAGAAGAAAACTACTTTGTTGTCAACAAGTGTAAAACATTTTCTGTATTCACACTGGTACCTAAGACTGCACTTAGGTACAGGGCCAGGGGAGGAATAGGAAAAACAGTAAAATGCATGATAGTAACTAGATTTTAAAGAAAACAAGAAATGAAAAAATTATCATGAAATTCACTGAATGAAAAATTCATCATGAAATCACTTACTTGGAAGAGAAAAAACCTTAAGTATTATTAATCAAAGCAAAACTTGTTATAGTTTTTATTTTCTTGTCTTTTGTATACTTAAATCAAAAATAGATGGATAAAACTAACCATAAAACTAAACAATAGATGAACAAGTCTGGGAATTGTCTAGTCAGAAAGTCTGAGAAATACACCATCTTTCAAATGCTAATTTAACAGTATTGCACTCCACATCTTCTATATCCTCCAAGTTAAAAAAAACCAACCCCAAACACAAAAAAACAAAACACCACACATCCTCCAAGTCCTGATGATTCTACCTACTGTCAGCAGGACTATAAATAACATCTTTAATGATGCATAATAGATCACAGAAACTTTATTTTGTCATATCTCCCTGACTGATGGTCAAAGACTATAAACGAGAGAGAAGTAATTGCCCCAGCCACATGGCACATCAAAGAAAACAGCAAAAAAAGAACGTATTTCATCATCATCTATTTCTGGCAACAGCAGTTATACTCTGAAATCAAGTTACAATCAAAATTCTCACCCTCCTTATCCTGTCCTCTGCAAAGAGATGGAACAGGTATCTTGCAGATAATTACTGAAAGCTTCTATCCTCTATTTTCTTGATCTGACCACCCCTCTTCCACCATCTATTTTCATTTTTTAAAAGTCTTACCTGGATCTGAGCTGCCTGTTCCTAGCTGTGCACATGCATTATCGTTTTCTTGCAAGGCTTTTTTAAAGTAAAAAATTCCTAAATTGTGCTTTCCCATTGCAAAGTGGATGCAGCCAAGATTGTTCCAGAACATACACCTTAAGCATTCACCTGAGAGAACAGCAAAAGACCATTTTCGTAAACTAAAAAATGTCACTGAGCCCATAAAATGCTCCCACCACTCTCACGGGTCAGCATATTATGGTAGTTTATTAAACATGTTCTTCAGCAAGATGTTCATGTATTATGCAGTTACATCCCTGCCTCATAAGCATTTTATTAACCTACATTTTTTATACCATTCTAGTTCTCTTAGACAGTTGACCTGAAATGACCTACATATAAGCAGCCACAGATTTCCAGATCTTATGATTCTAAAAGCACTCTCCTTCCTAAATATAGGTTCAGGTACCACCCTAAAAATCCAAACCACCAAGAAACAGACCATTATCAAATTAACCAGACATTATTTTAATCATAACCTAGGAAAACTATTAAGTGAACATTCTACTGTGCAAAAAAGCTAGTGCAAGAAAGTTACGAGAATAAAACTTTCCAGGAAATTTTAAGTTATAAAGAGAACTTTAAGCATAAAAACTGTCAGAAAGATTAGTTACAGTAAATTTTAAAAGAAGTGTCAAAATACACCAGAACAGGCATTATGGCAAGTATTTTGAATGTTTTCTATGAAACTTATCTGTAAATACAGAAGTTTAAAAAATTTACTCAGTCTTGTGAAATTTGCAGACTCTGCGACTTCTATCATTTACTTGCAATCTATGCAGCAATATCTACTAGATAAAAGATCTTACAGCACAAGAAATTAAGAGTACTATCACAAAAACAGCATTGAACAAAGTAGTAAAGAAATTCAGTAGGTTTACAGTACAAACATTTTTTTAAATCCTAACTCTCTACTGACACAAGATACAGCTTTCTCTCCGGATTTTTCAATTGATGTTTTAAATAGTCAACTAAAATCTCAAATATATTTAAATTACACCGTATACAGTGAGTGTATGTATACACAGTGTGTATATTTACAGTATATAAGCCTTCACAAATCCATTTTCTTAGACAACTGCTGCATTGTCTAGAAGAACGTTCAATGAAAAACACAACGGTGTTACGTGAAAGAGCACAATAAGAAAGATGAAAACATATCCAGCATATAAAGCCATGACATTCAGGGCCTACTCCCTTAAGTAATCATTAATATGCTTAAAATTAATATCAATGAGTAGTCCTATTATACTACACATCTAAGTACTTGCAGGATGAAGGTTTTCTATTTTACCTGTTTTCATGAAGCCTGGATGTTCAGCAATGTTTGCACTGTTTAGAAGTTTCACCGCCTTACGGTAATTGCCCCTCAAATATTCAAAATTACTTTTAAGAAAGAGAGAAGGAGCTGACTGTGAAGGAGAAAACAATAGTTAATTATCTCTTGTTTTATGATTTCTACTGCTAGTGTTAAATCACTCCACAGCTTGCCCCTGCTGCCACTTTAAAAATACATGGGCTTAGGCCTTAATACTTTCATGAAGTAGCATTTCTTCGTTGAGCACGTGATTAACACTCACCTCCTCCAAAACACAAAACCATACATATTTTTTGTTACTGCTCTAAAACCCAACGTTACGCTACAGAACTCTGTCATGGTAATGGCTAAGCACAGAGGATCTCTTTTTTGTTTAAGAGGATCTTTCTCCAACCTGTCTTCTAGTACACTCCTCCCCACGCTTCCCTCCCTGCGGAGTTCAACAACTTCCTCCTGGGCTGTGATCTTCCTGGTCTGCCAACAGAGACCTCACGATCCAGAAGGATTTCTGTCAAACTAGCAGCTGTTGAGACTGGCAACAAAAGGGAATTGCTCTCCTCCCATTCCCTGCTCCTCAGTTAATGTAGAATTTATCTGGGATGGTGGACGTAATTCTGAGTTGAGAACTCCTATATAAAAAAAGAAACTGCTTTCTAGCAAGAGGTAAGCCTCCAAAAAACTCCAACAAAAAGAAAAAACCCAAAAAACTGAGTACCCCAGAATGAATCTTTTATGAACTGGTTTAAACCACCAATGACGTCAGAAGTTTGTAACTCCCATAACATTTATAGTAAACTAAAACTTGTTTTGTGCTGCTTAAATTATAAAGCAAACTGACCCTATTTTGGTATCATTAACAAAGTGCATTTTTCTGACCAACTGAAAACAGCGCAAATAAGAAAATTCTATATTAATCACACTTGCAGAAAAGAGATTACAAACCTAACTGACTATATAAAGCATTATTTCAGACCTTCATCCTCAGTAAGACCTTTCTTTGTAAAGAAAGTTAGCAAAATCAGTTTTAAGATAGAGAACAGATCTAGATTATAACAACAATAGCTTTAAGAATACTTACATTCCCAGCTGTATTCATAACAGACTTGATCTCCCTTTTGCATGCTTTTAGTGACTTCATCTGGATATAGGCTCTCACCTTATACTGTTAAAAAAATAAATTTGTTAAATAAAAAACAATAACTTGTGCAGGTTTGCAAGATGAACCATACCTAGAGATTTATTACAGAATTTTTTTTATACATCTTAAAAATAGGTAGTAAAAAGATGTTCAGAAAGCCTTCCGAAAAAAGCAATTCTATTCAGACTTTCAAAAACAAATTTATAGGCTTCATATTTACGGTAAGCAGACGCACGTTTTGTTCAATGGTCAACAGCTACTCTTTATTCAAACACTGAGATACTAGCACTTAAAATGACAAACTAATTAAAATAATCTAATCTCTTAATCCCAGGCATTTACCTATTAAACTGAAAACACCAATAAGTGAATGCTGATAGAGAAGCATTTCATTTCTTCACATATTTTTCCACAGAACAGTGCAGTGAAATAAAACCTCAGCTGATTTAGACTGTTGGAGGTCTAACAGATATAAAGTCAGTGCAGCTAACTGCAGTTTAAAAAAAATTCTGATAAACTGCAGGGATTGAAATTGGAGATTTTTTGTGTTAGGTGAGTTTTTCCTGTACATGGATCTTACAAAAAGAGAGAGTTAGATAAATTCATTCTTTTGTTTTACAACATGAAATTCAAAGAGAGACAGAGTATCACAAATCTAGTTAAAACTAGATTTGAAGCAGATGGCACTCGGTTTTAAGAAAAACTTGAACTGATGTTTTTGTATAAATCATACGCAGACACTTACCTGATGTATCTTAGATTTAGCAACTTCTATTAAAGCTCCACTTTCAGGTTTTTGATTCGAGGAATCTTTACTTGTATTATTACCTGACTGAGCGTCAAACAAAAACACAGGAAGTGTTACTAATAGTCATGTTTTAAATGCAGTTTACAGATTCTTTCATAAGCTATTTTTATCAATCTCACATGAAGAAGAAAAATAAGTATTTAATAGTCAAAAAATACATATCCCACCAAATACCGTAACTCGAGCTTAACAATCAAAATCGAAGAACAACCACACCAGCCTATGAAGAGCAGAATTCTATATTAACATTAGTGTTATACTATGTAATGTTATATGCTCTGCATTTGAGGTATTCGAAGAATTCTCTTACCCATTCTAGAGTCTCTCTTCCGTAGAATTACTATATACTTAAAGATAAAATGTTTTATCTTAAGTGTGACATTCCATCAACAGGAAAAGACAGAAATGTCCTCTTTTCACTTCCAAGCCACTACTCATTCTACTGATTTTTCCAAAAGACACATACAAAAGATTTCATTTGAAAGTGTGCCTCATACTTTCATATACTATGTAAAAAAGATGCTTGATTTCCCGTACTATGCTATGCAATTGCAATTCCTCTCTGACACCAACTTCCCTTTCAAACCTAGGGTCTTATATGGTCATAATCCAAGACAAACAAGAAAAATTACGTATATTTGACCCTGAAGACAACTGTCTTTCCAATGCAAGTCTCAGACTTAAGAAATACTTCTTAGCTCCCTGGGAGTAAGGGAAAAGGGTGGAAGAGAGGGAATAAACAGCTGCTGTATACAACTAACTCAGTTACTAACATGTATAAGTTGCTGTCTGAAGTTACAGGTGATCTAACATAGTTTTATAATTCCGTAGTATTTTGAAAGAGTAATTCTCAATTGAGTTAAAGCATACTTCCGGTAAAGACTTAGTGGCATTCATATGATTTTAAGCTTACCTCATTTTTTCCATTCTTGCTGTTATTGTTGCCCTGTGAAATCATTTTTTCCAGAACAGCAAGCAGATGCAAGGCTTTCTCAGCTTGGTAAGTTAGCAGGTATAAGTCTACAAGCAAGAAGCACACAGCCTGGGCAAACTTCTCTTCTGTATAAAGCAAAGAAGGAAAAATGATTTTACAGATCTCACACCAATCCTTCCAAACAGGACTGATGAAAATAAATTGACTATAAAGTGCATCTGTGCAACATTATGAGAAAAATAAATATAGTACATAAGAATAAAAAATGCAGACATCTACGCAATGCAGGTAAGTACATATACTGGGAAAAAAAAAGGTAATTCATTCAAACGACATCAGCATAAAAACATAGACTAAAGACAGCTTAACATGTATTTCATGTTTATAGATTTTCAGAATTGGTGTAAGCAGATCAGCACCAAAGATCCAGTGTCTAAATAGACAGATGGAGCCATATGCATACGTAGAATCCCATAAAACTTGAAAGGATTCCGTACATACACATTTCTGCTTGGCTGGCTTCACAGAGTAAGTCCCAAATAGGCATACTGAAAACTGGGAGGAACTGAAGGAGAAACACGGTAGCATTTACTTAATTTATCGAGACACACACACATACATCCTTCAGCCTTGTCACCTCTAAAATTCAATGAGGATTATGAAGTTATTTCATACAAGTACGGCATTCCACTACACAAGGTGCCATAGCTCATAAAAGCTGGAGACTTTATACTCAGATATGAGCACATACAATTATGTATGACCTAATGCGGGTAATTAAAAATGTGAGTGCCCTGACAAATACACACCCGCCCCTGAAGTTGTATTATGACTCAAAATATTAGATTTTAAATCATTTAATTAGCTTGTACATATTATTTACATAAATAGCTTTTAAAGTTGTCAAAAATCCATTTCAGTTTCATCATACTTGTCTGCTAAATCTCTGAAGTACTTTACCCCCAAGCCCAATTGTTGTCCTTGATATAAGTAAAACATATTCTTCACTCCTAAGCCTATCCACTTTTTTAGAACCATATTAGGCAGATTTACAAATCACTTGTCTGATAGTGAGAAAGACTGAACGATCTTTCTGTAGTTACTACATGACCAAAACTCTTCTTTCTGTCTACATACCGAAAGGCTCTATAAACTGGTACAGCTTCTCCCCAACTGATATAGCTTCAGTATACTGACGCAGATGATACAAAATAACAGCTTGATTGTAGTACAGCATACTATTTTCAACATCATCTAAACCATCCATTTCTTCAACAGCAGAGTGAACCTGAAAAAAAAAACCCACCTTGTTTCATTAAACTTTCAATACCTATGATTTTAAAAAGTGTCAAGTATTTTACAAAAATAACCCGAAGGTATTAATCCACCTAAAGATAGGTCAGTAAGAGTTATAGGCTAATAAAGTTTATTATTGTTCAACATAATGCCAGTGAAAAATTTACAATGAAATAGAAAGCTGTCAGTTGAGCAGTAAAGTAATATTTTCACTTTTTATTTTATACGAAATTACTTCAAACTATTTCAGGTTAAGGAACTTTCTACTGAAAGAACATAGCAGGTCTTTCTACAGTTATAATCTCTGGAATGTTTAACCTTTGGATCAATTTCAATTATAACTAAAAACATAACTATAAAAGCAGTGTCCTCAATGATTAAACAGACTCAGACATTTAAAAGTAATGATACTTTCCTATTCCTTTATCAAATCTCAGGGACAAGGGGCAGAAGTTTTCTTCCAATTTCACTGGAAGATCTCATCACCATTAACAGTACTCAAAATCAAGTACCGTGTCAATATGTTTGCATTACCTGGTTCTTCAGCTGGTTAAGGGTTTGTCTCAAATTGTCTGTCGTAGTCTGGTTACTTTTACAGAACTCCGCAACAGCAGTATTCAAAGTTATTTTGTAGTCATCTTTGTTTATGTCTTGAAGGGTATTTAGGTGTTGTAAACAAGCATCATAGTTTCCAGCCTGGAAATCGCACACATACCAGAAATATGCATTAGAAGATACAAAGTTTAAACTAACAAAGTAGGAAGTTTTAATGAAAGTATCCTCTGTAAGTTTAGAGAGCAAAGGAGTGTTTCCTTTATCGACAGCAAGTGAAGCAAACTAAACGTCTACACACATACTTCATTATTTATGCAGATTAATAAGTACAAGAAGTAAGTCTAAAAGTTGAGGTCATATCCAAACTTCAAAAAGAATTTTGTGGAGGAAGGACAAATGGAGTAGTCGATTATTATAAACAGATACTTCCATGAAAAGTGTTATTCTGATTTCTCTTCATCGTATTATTTTGAGTCTCAAGATTCTTTATTTCCTCAGTTTTCATAATCTTTCCTCATCACATGTACATTGAGCGGCTGCAGTTGTTTACATAAGTCCCAGCCCATCATTTTATGTTCATTCTTCACTTCATCTGGAGAGACTATGAGTTACAATTTAGTCTGTGGAAGTCAGCTTAAGAGATGTTGGAAAAAGAGGGCGTCACTTCCTTGGTACAGGTTTAAATAATACTTTTACAAGTTCTAGCTGTTGAATGAAGTATTCAATCACCTAGGCATGCCTAAACAGAAAGTAGGATCCAAGCATGATGCTCTTCTGAGGTGTTATTTAATCAATAAATCCCTTTCTTTGACCTCAAGAATAGGCAAGGACTTCAGAATGGCTCACCTCTTTCTGCTTTCAGTTTTAGTCTTTTCTGTGTTTGCGCAGGAGGAATTCAGTGGCATCGAGGAATGAAAGACAACTCCAGACTCTTTCAACTATGTTAAGCTTAAATGATCTTCACTCTCTACTGTTCAATTCCAATACAGGAATAATCACCTTCACCTCTTCCATATTAGGGTTACTTCCAAGCTGGTCAGTCAGATAAACAGATTCGTTTCCATCTCTGTCAACGCTTCACAATCAAAAGCTATGCTCTTACGTACCATGACCACTCTTCATTTCCTCCTCCTTTTTTCAGTGCTGTTCCATGGAGTTTCTCCTGGGCTCCTGCCTAACTTCCTCTATTAAGGGAAGAATTACAGCGGAGAAAGGCTCTGTGGTCCTTCTGCTCTTCCTGAGAAAGTTGCCATTCTGCGGCTACTCTCAACAGAACCATCCCAGTCCCTTCAGTCTCGTGCAAAAGCACAGTTATACAATATACAGAGAGATGTAGCAGGACACTGACACACAGTATTTCCACAACTCTAAGTATCAACAGCATGGATCGCCTACTGATGATGTGCATAAACACAGGGACTTGCAACTCAACTGCTAGCATGCTCTTTAATTGAGAGAGTTAATCTCCCAGTGATTTTCTTTATCTATTCACATTCAGAGCTTCTCTTCAACAGGACAGCTTTCAGATCACAGCAACAAGGCTTCTAACCATGGTTGGACTAAAAACCTTGAACCCTTAAATGCTCAGCTTATTTTGTGGTGTTCTTCCTCAGCCAACAGTCCTTTACTCTACTCTGTTAGATAGGATCTAGAATATAATATACAACTTTATAGTAATTCTACAAAGACAGAAATTGGAAGTGCAGTATGATAAAGCAGCATGCAAGGCAGTCCACAAAGCTATTCAAAGCAACCCAATAGCAAGCAAAATTGGCAAACAAGGCACCAGATTAATTCTGCTGACATCTGTCACAACCTCACAACATCATAAACTTCGGGAGTTCTTAAAGCAAGAAAAAGAGATAAACAAGATACACTGGACCAGTATAAAAACTAAAGATGAAGTTGTCAACAGATCGAAAGTATTTTAGGCATGTAGATCTGTAGGCAAGATGGAAAACAGGCAACCCTTTCCTATGCCTTCTGTTGTCAGGATCAAATGTCAATGAGCAAAATGTTACTGAAAAAGAACAATTGAGCTAGAATGCACTCAAGATATCCGTGAACACATCAGCTGCAGTCAGTTTAAGGACCAACTACATGCACTTCATGCACACAACAAAATAAATTTAATGAGTGAAACACACACAGAGGAACACAGAAATCGAAAGGAAAAGCAATTATACTTCCTGTCATTTCCTACACTAGATAAAATTAGGAAAGAATACAAAGAGAGAAGTAAGCTGAAAGACCCAGTACCTGAATTTTAACACACACACACATACACACACACAAAATCTTCCAAGAAACACAAAATAGGTAGCTAGTACTGCCTGTAGGTATTATGTGTTGAAGAATGTGTTTTAATGCAAAGTGACGGAACAGTATACAATGCTTTTTGTAAAAGAATATAGCAAGATGCTAAAATGAAAAAGGGTTGTTTGGTTGCTGTTTTTTAATGCACATGGCTCCTTTAAACCCTCTAAGACAACATTTTCAGCTTGAAGCGATTAATTCTTCAGAGAGATCATGCATTTCCAATGCTTATACAGATAGCAGTCTGCTTCTTCTAATTAACTCATCACACAGCCTTTAAGGCTAGTAAGTTTTGAGAACCAAGATTAAATGTGCTCTTGCGCACTTCATTCAAGTATCCCCTTCAGTCTTCTCACATCATAGCAGACAGAAAATGCATATGCTGGCTTTATAATGAAACTAGTGCTACTTTTGATATAATATCCCATTAATACCTTTGCAACTGTGCTATGAAAACAGGAAGAATAATTATATAAGCCCGTTTAGCAGTTATGTGGTAAATTAGAAGTCTCAGAGTTTGGCTTTGTCTTACCAGAAAAGCTTGTAACGCACTGCTCGACAATTCCTTTTCCTGATCGGTAATCCCAGAAGTGCCTGCTCCTTCATGTTTCTCATTACCTTGATCTGTAAAGTGGGCAGAAGATTACAAGAAAGTTTGCAAATGTGATGACAGCTATTCAGCTTAAAAATTTTGTTTCTTCCAGTTCTCAAGATCCTCCTGCCAGTACAAGTAACTTTCCAGATAACTTCCAGTCTCCTTACTAGACTAAAATATCTCAAGTTAGCCTATACTTCTAGTGAATTCCTCTCCATAAAAAGTACATGTAATAATCCTAGCTAAATTACTGTGCTCAATCAATAACCAAAGTCCTGTAAGTTAACTGACAATGCATACATTTGAGATTTCTCTTTAAAGCTGCAGCCATACACTAGGATTGGCTTTATTTGCATAAAAATTAGCAGTGAATGTCACACATCATAAAATAAGCACCACACTGGGTTAGATGAAAAAACCCATGCATCCGTATGCTGCTTCCTCAACAGCAAGCAAGGGACGCTTTAGGGAACAACATAAAAAACAGAGCAAACGCTGGAACTTCCACTCAGCTCCCTGCTTTGGAAGAATAAGTCTCCCTAAATAAGAGGCTGCAATCGAACCATCGTTGTTAATAATAACTGACAGACCCAATACATTTTTTTTTAAACACACTATACTTTTGTACTCTTCAATATACTCCACCAAATGCTATCTAGTGATTATACTGCAAGACACAAGCAAATGATGCCTATTCACTTTTTCAGCCTCACTCCTGATCTTACAGATCTTTCTTTGAATCATCTCTCCTCCAAGGTGAGCAGGCAGAGTTTATTCTGCATCTTCCTCACACATTTTTTTCCCAGGATCTTCTCCAGTTCTACTATATCCTTTTCCAGACTAAGACAAGAACAGCATGTAGCAATTATGATGGTGGCCCCTTTGAGCATTTATACAGTAATACAATGAGGTTTTAATTGTCTTCAATTTCATTTACATAGAATTCCTAACATTTTACCTTTCAGTCACTGTTGAGCATATTTTTGAGAAAGGAGTCTACTGAACCCTTTTGTCATCATGTAATTAAGAATTCAGTGAAGTTGCATTAAAAACTACAGTAGAGACATTCCATGCCAAAGAAGCTGAAAAAACCCACCAAACCCTTCCCTGTGCTGAACATAAACTACGGGAAGGGAAAAAAAAACCCAACACAAAACACCACACAACCACCACACCAGACAGCTTATTTCTAGAATCATTAACCCATGTGCTAGAACATGCAAAAATCATTTCATGTTTCTGAAACAAAGACTTTATAAACCTCCAATGGTTTCCACTTTTGCAGATAATTTCTTAATTTCACAGTGGAAGCTTTGCTCTAATCTACATTTGGCTATCTTAATAGGCTAGGTAGGCTTTGTAAATTCAACGCTTCTTTCTCTTCCTAGAATTCAAGGATGTAATACAAACTCTGCTAACTTTGTTTTCACTTTGAACAAATGAAAACACTTATCTGTGAGCTCCCCTGCAAAATCCATTCCTCATCATCTCCATTATATCTGCTACTGACTGACTATGAAAATTTACGAGTATGATAAGACAGACAAAAACAGTAAGGGGCAATCAAACTTCAGAAGATTCATCAATTAAGATCCACAGTAGGAATAAAGCAATCTTAATAATCTATTCATAGTTTGTGCTTGTTGCTGGGAAGGTAGTGAGACCCCTTCCATTGCCCTATGCAATAACACATTTCAGCAAGAACTATAAATATTTGGTTGTGACCTTCATCCTGCATCAAGATGCCAATGAAGCTGAGATTTTAAAATCTCAACAATCTTACACCCGCAAGTTACAAAGTAACCCACTGTGATTTACACAAAATTCAGGATTCAGCAATTGCAGTACTCTGGAGGGATAGATCTTCAGGGGGCTACAGAACCACATGCACCTGCTATAAAATCTGACTGTACATAAGGGATTGATTAACACCACTTGCACTGCCTTTTCCTTGAAAGGGAACAGCAGGAGAGAAAATTAAAACACAAAAAAGCTCAGCAAATTTTTGACGTGCCAAGGTTTTCTGCAGCAAAAGAGGAAAGGAACAAGAAGCACCTCTTCTTCAAGCTAAATATAGATCTGATTCCTGCTCTGGATCTTGTGGTTGTACAGCTGAACAGAAAGCTATCACCCTCCAAGGATCTCTAGAACAGCAGCGAATAAGCAAATGCATTTTTCCTCAAACTTTCATGCTAACAGTTATTTGCTTCACTTGCTCAGCATGCCTTTCAGATTATGCTGGTAAAAGTAACCATAGTGCAGAGACCTGGGACTCTCAAACTTCTGAAGTTGATAACGCTTAGTCTGGTGAAGAGGTTCCTCACATACAGGTTTACCTAGCAGAGTGCCATCAACTACCGAGTGCGATATCGATTACTGCCATTGTATGCAAGTTCGTAAAACAAGCATCTCAAATGAAGGTGGAAGTCTGAATCCTGAAGTAAAATGTCTTCAGTTAAATGACAGATAAACCAAAGAGACTGTTGTCTAAGTTGTGTAATAAAAGCACCACTTATATAGCTGTTTGAAATATTTCCTAGGGAAAAATCAGGACAGGTCTACAGATTTCACTATGTCTCTAAGTCTGCTGGTACGTTTAAAAAAAAAAAACCAAAATGAAACTGGGGACTACTTTAAGCAAAAACAGAGCTGTCCTTTCTCCTATAAAGTCAGTTTTATGGCTGTATTCCAATCAACTGCACCTACTACGACTCAGTAAACAAAGCAGGGTTGCAAAACCTGAACTGGAAGCTTATCAAGAAAGAAAAAAACTAAAGTCCAGCTGACATAGTTCACAGCATAGCTCTTTCCTTTGGAAAAAAACCACTTTGACTACTCTCTACCCTTTTTGCCCACACACACTTGAACCTTGTTAAAGAGCTAAAAGTCCTTCTAATCTACTGTAATCCTGCTGTTCTTGTTTAGACCAGGATCTGCTTCACCTGATCTTTATTATCGAGAGGTCTCACAGACAGGAATCACCTAAAAGCTGGCTGGCCCAAGATACCAGAAAAAGAACTCCAATTCCACTTAAAAGAGGGGAGAAAAAAAAGTACTCTTGCTCTCTTGGCTGCAAATGGCTATCAAGTGCTTGCAAATAAAACTATTATTTCCATATTTCTTGAGGTAGGTGCATTGTTCCCTGGCAAAACATACAGCATGCCACTTGCTCACTCAGATCTAGTGATCTTCGGCGTTCTTGCAGAAGCAGGTGGTGCAGGTAACACAGGGCACACCAGTCATGCTCCTATCCATACAGTAGCTACAATTATCAGCCGAAATATCTGAAACAGTGCAGATTCTCTGCTTTACAAATGACAGGACTCAACTACTCGATTTAACTCTGTAAATTGTATTTACACATGGACCTGTTTGTTTAACTTTTCATTTTGTCCAACTTTCAGAAGTACAGAGCAACTCTAAAACTAATACTGTCAGGCTAGTGATGAGGGGCAGAAGGGGCAACCTGGAAAATGACGTAAAAATCAACTGCTTGGATTTTGATCTGGAGGAAGCTGCTGCACTAGGTTTGAAGTTAAAGAAGCAAGTCAGGAAATTATCTCCCAAGTTAGCAATCCTGGGGCTGAGCAGCAGAAACACTATGTCACAGAGGCTTGTTTGCTTTGCGCAAAGCAGTTGTCCCTACTGCAGAAGTTACATCATGGTGAACAGCAGAACTTTGGGAAAACTGGCTCTATGAGAGGAGAACAAGGGAAAGCATGAGACTGCCACCTGAAAAGGGAGATTGCTCTCCTCATAGGCTTGCTGCCACAACATCATATAAGCAATAAGAAGCCACATCTCCCACATACCTATACCCGAAGACACCCGGAGAGTGACTGCAATCGTTATCCTTCTCATACCTGTTCTCCATATCTCCAAGGACTGCTGTTCCTGAGCTCTCTTGTTCCTAGGCCCTGTAAATTACATCTTGCATGAACTGTGCTGTTGAACACCAGAGCATCTCTGGAATTATTTTCTATTTCCAAACTCTACAGGCAGGGGGATAATCTTTTCCTTGGAAGGGGAGGAATCTATCACATGACTCTTGCTCCAAAAGCATTTTGAAGGGTATGAAGACCAGCCAGAGTGTCCAGCCTTTATAAGATAATGACAGTTTGTGGCACCAAGACTACATTTTTCTATGAAGCACTGCACTACTAGTATAAATATAATAGACTTCTTCAGTGTTGTACAATAAAAAGCAAACACTTTTCAGTGGAAAGTTATTTGTAACTCACTGCTATGAGCAAGTACAGTATGTAGAATATCTTGCCATAGCTCACGTCTTTGATTCATTTGGGCACACACTTTTCTTTTAAGCAAGTACAACTGAAAAGTTCCTTCAACACTTCCAAGAACAACAACAAAAAAAATATAAGATACCTTAATGCCAATTTTTTTTCTTGTAGTTTAGGAGACGCTTACAGTGCTTATAAATAAACACAGGATAGTTTGGTACACATCATTCAGTACAGTACACTCATTTTTCCCACAATCGTTTTCAGATACTGAGGAATTTCATATTTAGCATCCAGAGAAAAAATGCGAGGCGATTTTAAATAACGCTGCCACCACGTAAAACCAACTGAAAAAAACCTCAGGAACACAAGTAGAACCCTTTGGCTTTCCTCCACATCGCCCTCTTCTCTGTCCCCACTGAGCTGCCATCTGAGGGAAGGACCTTTCCTGCAAAGAGGACTTCTTGCATGGGAGATGGACGAGCAGTAGCTTATCAATGCTAATGAGTTACACAGCAATTGTACTTGAGATTTATTTCGCGTGTTTACCAGAAAATGATTTATTTTTTTAATCTTGGTGATTTGTCTCTACAGTGTCTTTTCAGGCCCGAGTTTAGGAAAGACCCACTCATCCCCTGAAACCAAAGTAGCAACTCAGAGGGAATTGGACTGAACTCCAGCGATTACATAGCAACACGAAGCGTTCAAATCTCCTCAGCACCTTCCGAACGCCCCAGTTTAACAAATTAACCCAGAAGCTCAACTTCTGCAGCGGTTATTAAGCTCTG